AATGTCATCGAGGCCTTGGCATAGAGGAGAGCTTGATGACGGCCGCAGACACCTCAAGTATTTGATTAAGGGCTGGATGTGAGAGCGGTAAGTCACCGTAAGACAGGAGCAATTAGGGGGAATATGCCCCATTCCGGAGAAATACTTTATCCAAACTCCCGCCATAAATATTGCCGCCATGATGTCACTTGCGGTTAGCCGCCATACGTCTCTTGTCTTTCCTTGCTGTTATGTGTGCCAGCTTCTTGTCTCATCTTATGTTAGTATTACTAGTTAAGGTCAATTGTTTAATTTCTCTATGATTATTATTGTAAATATAAGTATAGTATATGTTGATAACTTATTGAATATAATCTTACAGTTTATCCAATTTTTAGAGTTGTTATGTTGAATATTATAAAGTAATAATATTGTTTGAATGGAAGATTTCAAGTATGTAATCTCTCATTTAGAAGTCTTGACGTTTTGGTTGTTCAATCATTATGACCAATTGAGATCAATAGCATGAAAAAAATAGTAAGTTAAGAGAATACATGATTATTTTTTTTTTAAATACTTTTTTACTTACCTCTCTAATTAATTTATAGAAGCTAAATATTGTGAAGAAACGTAACTAACATTTCAGATTTTTTTTTTTTTTTATGTAGAAATTTCCGTTTTGTAACAAAATATTGACGTTACAGTAATTACTTTTACATTTTTTATATCAATATTATTTTAATACATCGTAATTATGTTCTATATTAAAACCAAGGCGTTGGCTTATATTGATTATGCATTCAAAGAATATTCAGAATTATTACTTTTAGAAGAGCTTGTCGTGCTGGAAGTTGCTCGACAACGTTTAGGAGAATTCGGGGAAAAGTCGAAAATAATTCAATTGGTGAATCTGTCATATCTCGCCTAATATTAATCGTAAAGTGATATTTTTTTCTGCCTATTAGCATTTAAATTATCTAAAATATTATAAAAGTTGTGCTTATAATTTTATTTAATAGCATATTTCTATTAAATTGTATATACAAGTTTATGTATTCGAATTTGAAAATAACATTAACCTCTCGCACGATTGTGTTCGAGCACACCTTTGGTAGTGAGGAAGCAAACAAATATCACAGCCTTATTATACTTTTACATTAATTATTATTATTTTATACTTTACTACAGACTTGTTTAAAAAGTTGGACTGAATTGCTCTTGTCATCCTAACTTAAACAGTCAAATGCTAAACCTCCTCTGTAAGGTTATCTTTATTTTAATTTTAAACTTCTTCATACTTCTAAATAACAGAATTCTGTATTTGACTGATTAAGTTAGGACGGCAAGGACAATTCAGTCCAATTGTTTTTAATATCTTTTTAAATAGGTATGTAGATAAGTATAAAATTATAATAATTAATGGAAAAGTATAATTTAGGCTGTGTATCATTTTTTTATTTGTTAAAGGTTTCATCCCTAAGAATGGCCTAAAGGCTGAAACGCCGTTGTAAAAAATAACATAAAGTGTTACTGTTGTGATCAATATGAGTGTTTTTATTATTTTGATAATATTTAGTTTATAAGATATTTTGATCCAAATTCAAAAATTAATCGACTCAAGCCGACTTAACTCGATTGAGCGTTACATAGTCGGCTCAGTCTCATTCAATACCCACAAAAAAAAGTGCTGAGCTGTCTTAAAGAAGTTTTCACTTAAAAAAATAAATCTATTATTCAATGGAGATAATGTTCAAAAATATTTAAAATATCCATACAATACAACAGTGGGCTCAACAGAGCTCTGTATATAATATAATCTAAACATAAAGTTCTTTTTAGTGTGGCTATTGTTAACCATTGAAGTACCTACCCCCATCAGCTCACCAGTGTACTGTTCCAAGATAGGACAAAACTCCCTTTATCGTACACAACTCCTAAGCGGACAGAAGCATATGGCGATGTGCTAGGGGCCCAGAGAGCAGAGTCATTTAGATACTGGTACATTGAAGATGATTAGACTCCATTCCGCCAGATGGCATTGTCCCCCGAGGAGTGCACTTAGGACATGGCCTTCGATAAGGTTCCATCTGTGAACAATAAACATTTTCTTCGATATCGGGCAATTAGCCATTGGTGCAATTTGTGAGAGTGTTGGCAGCACTGTGTGAGAGCCGTCTGCAATCCTTCCAGCACAGCTGCTCGTACCCTTGGCTTGGTTCGCAGGGGTATTACTAGCCAATGTCTCTGAGATTTTCTTCTTGTTTTCAAGAAGGTCAATTAAGTTTGTGCATACTATCTACTTTACCTTTCTTAATGATTTCTATTTTTGTACTTTTACTTTTTTATCTTTTGTCTTAACTCCCGACTTATGTCATGAGCCTTCTAATAGTATTTAAGATTTGAATGAAGTTCTTAAACATACATTCGTAAAAAAAGTACAAGATTGAAGTTGGGCTGCATCCATGAGTAACACGCTTTTGCCGATTTTACAGTTAGAGGAATATGCAACATCTGTTTTTTAAATAATCATTCCTTTTGTTCATCTTGAATTCCACGACTTCGCCTTGCGTAGTCTATTGGTTTGCCTCTGGTTTCCTTCAGTTATGCGATCCATTGTTTCCTAAAAGAAGCTGTTGTCTTGATAGGAGCCCAGCTTGATTAGTTTTCTATGTTTCTTTCCTTTCTAGATAATATGTTCCTATTTTTTTCCGTCTGGAATTTAGTTCTTCCTATCAACAGCAGTCCTATTATCTCCTGATAGTGACGGTGCGTAAAACCAAGGTATGTCTCCAGGTTCCGCAGTTTATTGTTTGGATTTCCGTTTCTTTAAGCGTGTTTAAAGACAGCAATTTACCACGAATTTTCCCTTCCGAATTTGTAATCCATTTCCCATGGGGTCTGGTATTTGAAGGAATTAAGGTAAAGAGCTGTCTATGGACATTAGTTTTCTGCTAATACCGTTTGGATTTTTAATCAGATGTAGCCAATAATTACTTCATCTTTACTAAAAAAATATCAAAGCGTTGAGAGGCCGAATAGGCAAAGTAATAAGAAATATTAAAAATGAGCAAGGAGAAATGGTCTCGGAGGACAAAAGCATCCTGGAGGTAAGGAGGAGACATTATGAAAAACAATTCATAAGTGAACATATGTATCCTGTGAACAGGCAGGAACCGCGATGGAATGAGGCTGACTTAGACGAGGTCATAGGGAGGACGAGGTCGAAATACCTATGGAAAGACAAGAGCAGGAAAAGCTCCAGGACGGGATAATTTAGTTGGAGAGTTTGTCAAATATGTTGTTGATGTACCTCTGTATAGGACCGAATAAATCCCTAGTTTTTCACTGTAATATCTATCTTTATGCATGACCCCAATACAAAACAGTTCTTCCGTGTTCTTAAATTCTATATCATTAGAACAACTGTATTTGCTGGGAAAAGAAGTTTTAAGGATCCATGTCCTGAACGATACCTGAGACTTCCCTAGGATCGTCCTCCCAAGGTGACAGGAACCTCAGGAGGAGATATAATACCAGATTGGAGATTAAAAAAAAGAAAAAGAAGAACTAAACTGGAAGGACCACCGAAGACGTGGTTTTTATAGCGAACTTGGGGCTCCTAGCTCTTAATAAAACCTGACGTGCTGAAACAGGAGCAAAGGATACAGGCAATTAATATGATAAAAAAATCGATATTATAAACGTTTTTTTATATAATGTATGTGTGTGTGTATCTGTTGATATTTTCTTTTAAACATCTTTTAAAATTATTAATACGAGCTAAACAATCAGCAGGTTTGATGTCGATATTATAAAAAAATCTTCACTCCTCCGTTTCCCTCGCCTTCAGATATGCATCTATCAAAACCTAAATTTTCAAACCGATAACTTTCTTTAGGGATTAGTATAATTTAACTTGTCCAATCGTTGATGATGATTTTAATTTTACAAAAAAAAAGGTGAGTCCCATCACCTACCATTACACTGAAATCAAGTATAATACCGGAAACAATAATGAGACATAAAGCTCCTTAACATGCAAACATGCAGAAAAAGGAGAATTCCAAGACATTGAACGTTGCCAAAAAAAATAAGTAAGAGGTTATGAGAAAAGAAAAAAAAGATCCACCTTATTATATATTTATATTTAATTTTAGATCATGTAATTTTGGCTATGTCTATTCCTTTAAAATGTCGAAGGATAATAATAAATATATATTAATTGTAATAATAATAATTGTGGGTTGATGGTTGACAGTACTCGCGCGGGCTCATTACCGCGTATGGGGAGCCCCACAACCGTGACCTGTATCCGTGTAATATAATTGAGGTAATTTCATCGCGGCGAATCAAATGGGCTTGTAAAGTTGCTTAGTAACGAGAGAATCCCTAAAAGGTTAATATTTGCTGTGCCGAATGGTAAGCGTCCGAGGGGTAGGCCGAAGCGAAGGTGGGAAGATTGCATTAAAGCCGATCTGAAGGGACTGGACTTGGACGGCGAACGGTGGAGGGAGGTGTGTAATAAGCGATTGGTGGTGTCGGCATCGAACCTTCGGGTTCGCTAAGCCTTTTATTATTATTATTATTTATTATTGATGGCTGACAGTAGTGAATAATTGAAGATAAGGATGGTTGTGGTGATCAGTCAAAACAGGGGTGGTCTGTCTACGCTTGTTGGCCTGATGAAGGCCTGAACTTCGGGCCGAAACGTCAGCGAATGTGAAAATAAATACAATTATTTATTTTTACTATATATTCTAATATAATAATAAAATAATAATTGTAAGTGAAAGGCGGTTGGTTTTATAGAGGAATATTATATCACCCAGTGGAAGCTGTGGCGAGAAGCTCTCTTTTATGATCTGGTAATGTGAAGTACTCAGTATATTAAAGCTTCTCATTTAGTTAGATGAATAGATCCTCATGCCCACCACTCTTCGCTAGCTTTTATTTATCTATTTACTTTTGTATAGATATTTATGTAAATTTATCCATTATTAATTATTGTTATCTGTTAACAGGTGATATTACCCAAAAAGGCTATGAGAAGAAACGGGGAAGGCTGCTTGCTCCATACGTCCCTAAGCAAGCTCAAGGTATGTTGTCCTTTGATGTTGATGATGTTTTATAACATAATCTATCCGTGATTTATCAATATATAATATATGTATCCGTGGTCTGTTAATGTCGTATGCTTTACCTATGGAACAGCTTAGCCGTTCAGTGTAAACTTACTAAAAGTCATATCGTTCTCACTGAATGTATCTAATCCTATTTAGAAATTAATCCTTTCCTTTGTTTTCTGAAATGGTCATATATGTTTCTTATATATGTATTTACTATAAATCAATTTAATTTTTGTAAGTAGTAATTTCACTTCGAAAAACTTGAATATTGTATATAATAAATATTGTATATTGAATATTGAAGAATATTTTAAATAACAATGACGAAGAAGCGGTACAAAAGTGTATTATTAAAGAAAACGGAACTTCAATTTTTTATTGTTTATTTACTGCACAGTCGTTCTTTGGATCAATACAGACTCCTTCTTGAGTTTTATAATGAAATATTAACCCAGTATAACGGGATATATTTTATTATTATAAACGGATGTAATCTGTAATAGTTTTCTTTTTTCCGTTTTATTTTTAAGTAAAATAGATATTTTTATATGTTTTCCCCTCGTCATTGACACCGCCTACTATAAATAAAATAAATTATATTAAATAATAATTGTTTTTTACTGATGACTGAAAAAAAAAGTGGGTGTTATCAATAATATATAATTTTCAGAAGCTTGTTATATCAAATTTCAGTTGTTAATATTTAGTCTCTTAAATCCCTCAATAAAAGGAATCTAATTATTTATATAATTAAATAATAATATTTGATATTTATTATTATATATTATTATTTAATTATTTTCCATTCCACATATGTTTGTTATCATCCTATCAATACAAATAACGCTTAAAAAGTAATATATTACTAATTATTGATAAATAGCTACTTTTAAATGTACGTACAATAAAATAACTCTGAAAAATTTATTCATGTGGAAGTCGGCCCCTGAAGTCATCAATAATAAAGTTTTAAATCAACAAATTAATCACACACGCTTAAATCACGATTTTCTTAAAAATCTTATTTAATAAAGCTATTTTAATACATTACTTTTCATATATTTTATATTGTCTTTTAGTTATTTAAAGTTTTTAAAAGACCTAGAGAAAGTCTTTTTATGATTATCCGAGAACGACTGTATGCAGTAAATGTTTTTTTTTTTTTTTAACATGGCTCAGCGTTTTAAAAACTTTTATGTTAATATGCTATCTTTTTATGTTAATGGTCTGTTCACTTACTTAGTTCTTAAACTTCACGCATGTAAATCTTACAAATATATTCTTAATTTGTTGTCTTTTTTGGGTGCATCAATAAATTTGAAAATGCATTTCTATTTTGTGTTGTTTTATGAAAACGAAAATTTCTAACCATACCGTTCAGTTCCAAAATTTGATGTGTAAAAAAATGAGTGTGGTGAAAAATGTGAAAAAAGTTATTTTTGGTGAAGGATGGGTGCATCGTACAGCGTGCAGAATACATTATTTGAACCATAATAATTTTATTACTGCTTAGCTTGGTTATTATGGTTTATATTATTAAGGTATATCATATATAAAGGGCAAATATAAATATAATGTTATAAATAAAATACACACCAAAATATTTCCTTGTCCAGTATCTATTCCTCTTCCATTTCTATTTCTGTCTAATTCTAACAAGTTATTGCATTATCTCTTTTCCACTATGTGACTATCTTCAAGCTTTTCTAACACATTTTGTTATATTTTATGTAATATACTCATTCATTGTTGTAACCAAAAGAATTATGGCCTGTTATTTATTTGTCTCTCTGCAGCTCAGAAATATCAGATATTGAATTATAATTATACTGTTTTAACCATTTAATTATATGTTTGTTTTTTACTTTTCTTAATATTTCTCGAAACCACGCCTGGTTTTTAGGAGCAATCAATTGAATGTGACATGAGGGATGGAAAATTATTTTACCTTGTATCAATGTTTCGGACCAACATTGAATTGCAGGTCTTCACCATGAAAAAATTAAAACAAGATAACAACTAGTACAGAATAAAATGTAGGAGGGAAAAAACAAGAGAATAAGAAGTTAACAAATTGTACGAACTTCTATGTGAAAAAAATAATGATATATAAGAATTTTATTTATGAATAATGAAAAACTGAAATATTTCCATGCTCCTATACATATAAACCATTTATTATATTCTTATTCTCTTCTTATACTGTTTTTATCTTCTTTCATAATACGTTGTTTCTTGTTTTACTTAGCCCTTATGAAAGTCTGCAAATATCGAAACACAGTGAAATAAGTTTCCTATATTTTTTTGGTTTTGTTTTCGATTAATTCCCCTCTTCCCCCCGGTGATCTCTGAAGTTGACTCATTAGTGATGTACTGTTATGCAAGATACTTTTTTAATATTTTTTAAATCATTTTTTTGTGAAAAAATAACAATAAAGGCTTGGTTTTTTTTTGTTTATTTTAAAAATTCACCTTTTTATTGAAATTATAGACAACAACAACAATAAAATAGACAGCCGAAATTTAATCTTCGTTATTATTTCTTACCCTCGTAACTTTTATTCTAGTATTCATTTGCGCTTATTGCCGAAGATCCCCGAAGCTTCTGGTAAACACCCACTTTTATCCTGGCCAAGGACAGAGGCTCCAGTACGTGCTCATTTTCATGGAAGATATTCAAAAGAGCGGTCAAAGGATAATATTCTTTATTGCGGGTTCCGAAGGAGACTCTTTGTCTAGTTTACTAAAGCTATTGTTGGCAAGCTTTATTGCCTTTGGTGCATATTGAGCCTTTGTCCTTCCGTTGCATCTTCTCCCCATGGCCTCGAGGATTTCTTCAACTTCGCTATATCCTGTCCCGATCTGACAATTTTTCGCCAGACCTGTTCCGTTGTTATCGCTTGAGATAAAGCGTGACTTCATCTCCAAGACCTCCCCCTCCTCCACAATCTTAATAAAATTGCTAGTTGGCCCTGACGTCGGAAGGAAATTTCATTTGCCTCCTCGCTGAGACATCACAAAGGGTTGTAAAACGTTGATGAAATTCGGACATTATTCAAGATTTCTATCAAAAATTTTTTTCATTTCGGAAATTGAATCGCTTCTGTATAGAAATAAAGACTAGTCTGACCATAGCCAACAGCTATTTTATTGAAAAACTTTTTTTTTAATATTGTAAATTTTACTAGCGGATATATAATAAACTATTTTAAAATCATATTAAAATTGAACATCAGTACTACGATATGGGAGCCCTTTTGGAATGCTTCATAGTAACAATTCCTAAGTGCAATCTTGTACCAAAACACCAAATAAAAATTAAAAAATATACATTAAATGAAAAAACACCACATGTAAATTTAATATTAAAGATATATACTATGATACCAAATATTTATATATATATATATATATATATATATATATATATATATATATATATATATTTATATATACCAAATATGTATATATATATTTATATATACCAAATATATATATATATATATATATATATATATGAAATAAAACCAAAATATAATTATTTCATTGTAATATAAATATATAGACAGTGTACATAATATTGAGATTGAATAAATAAATAGAAATAAGTAGCCTTTATTCCGACGCGTCGGAATGGAAGCAACCCCCAGACACGAGCAGTGACACCTGAGTACTAGGTGTGCATGACGTGCACGCACAGGTGGGAATGAAAGCTAGTTGAGGGAGTACTGTAGGCTATTATTAAAGTTTACTGTGTACACTAAGGTTGTGATCCTCAATGAATTCATTCAATTATCTCGATTTCAATGAAATTGTTAAAAAACAAATTACTTTATATTTTTCCTGTAACAGTGAGGCAATATTCAACTAGACCTGTTCACGCCTTAGTCTTGTTTAGATCGTCCTCTTTACGCTTCATTGACCGAAATATAAAATCACAAAACTCGTTAGTAAAATCGTCCATGCAAGTGAAGGGTTTCAAGTCTTATTTTTGATTTGGTTAATACGAAAATAATTTGCGTGAACTAGCATTACCACTATCCAGGAACTTTCATTGCATCATCACTTGTAAGACAGACATGTTTGATCAATTGTGTATTTTATATTGTGAAGCTTCCTAAATGATTCAATCCTGATAACAATTTCGACTTTTTTCATATCAGATCCCATTGTAATATTTCCACGTAGAGAATTTATAATTTTTCTTTAAAATCGGTTTGGTAGTTTAAAAAAATAAAATTAAAAATTTCAAAAAGGTATGAAGTTTAAAAAAAGAAATGTTTTCTGAAAAAATATCACTTAAAAATAAATGTTTATCTGAGAGAGTTAGATTGGCAGTAGGATAAGTCTGTTTTCTTCAGGACATTAATATTTAGTAAATATACTTTGGATGATACCTGTATGCATACTTTATCATTAAAGTTCATTTACTAAACGTTGACTTTTTTGACAAAAAGCTCATTTGAATTACTTCGAATGAACTTCTTGAAAAAAACAAATTTTTTTTTAGTAAGGTATTAATTGTTAAAAGGACCTATGTTCTCTAATTGGTACTGTATGATTATAGGAGCCCATTAAATAATTAATGTCTACCTTACTCCGATTTCTTTCCTGCAGATTGTTCCAATTTTTCAAATTTTAGACATTTTCCCTTTCTGATGTAAACAGGTGTTTTTATATAAAACTGAAACTTGTGTGATAGCTTTTATAAAATTGATAACAATTGTTGATATTTCTGAGCTGACTTTGGTTGATGATGATTGGTTGATGGACAGGGAACACTAGCGCTGTCCAGGGGAGGCAGGGAACTAGGGCGCGCAGGCCCCATCGCCGCCTCACGCACAACGAGAAGCGTTACCATTCAGGTACCCGCACCAGTCCTGTAGCAAGGGGCCACCTTTATTATTAATATTTTATCATTTTATATTATATATCTTTAATACATAAATATATATTTCAAATTAGCATTC